ATATATATATATATATATATGTGATAGATCAAATAACAGAGTAAGTTCAGAGTGACCACAGTGCCCAGGGTGTGTAAGGAACACTGCTTGAACACTGCAATCACTGGTCTGAATGTCACTTTGGGCCTGGATGTTTGTTCGGATTTTCTGTGTGGGTGAGGGCCTTGCAATACGCCAACCTCCCATCCAAGGAGTTCTACTGAATGTCTAAAAGATCAATACTTTCAGAAATTAATTTTTAATTGGAACAAACCAGAAAAAGCAGTAAAGCTCAAGAAGAAAATATGTTTAAAACAACACATATATGAAATAATTAATAGAATTCCAGAGAATGGACATAATAACAGAAAGAACCTTACAAAATAAAGATGAAAGATACTCAGAACTCTGTAGAATAATAATAATAATAATAAAGATCCATTGTTTCACAGAGCTTCCCTGTAACAGGCCGTGGGGACCCATAAGGTTGTGAGATGTTGAGACTCCCACATTTTCTCTAGACAAATTGGCTCATAGGTGGTGGTCAGGTTGTCAGCCTTAGGCCCTGGCTGCCCTTTACCTCAAGGAAGATTCTGGTACTCATTTCTGTTAGAGGCTGAGTCAACCCCATGGCTACAGTGAGGCTGAAAGGATTAGGTAAACTGAAAAATCCAGTGACCTATAGGTTAGAAGTTAGGGAAGTAACAGAATACAATAAGCAAACAGAGATATACTGAAGCTGCAGAAATGATGAATTGTGTATACTGAGGAATTATAAACTTACTTAACAAAAAAGCAATTCATACCTCTGGTTTTATTGGAAACAGTGATGTGAAACATTGCAGTTCTTTTACAGGTGCTCTCCGTGTGCTCCTTTCAGTACATGCTGCAAGTTCAGTTATATATAAAAAAGTGCTAAGCATGCTCTTACTCTCACGCTGAGCAGCCTTTATAATATCAGGACTTCAACGCTCTCTGGCATAGGAGGGACACAGATGGCATCCATCATGAAGCCCATTAACAAGTGAAAAGGAATTACACAAGGTGACCATCAAGAAATGGTACTGGGCCTCTATGGCCAATCCATTTACTTGGCTAACATTCTACAAGGATTTTGACTGCAAGACCAATATGTCTCCAAGCAGTATAGCCACAGTAACAATACAGAAACTCGGAGATATACTGCAGATGAGTGCAGGCTTCAAGTTCTTAACTTTAATAAAGGCTAAGCAAAATTTGTTTTATACTGTTAAGTAAGTTTATAAGTACTCTATAGAATGACCAATAAAAGTAATATTATAAGCAGGTTATACTGGATTCAATATTTAAAATTTATGACCACCATGGGTTACAACTACTTTAAAATTCTCAACGCTATATTGGTCCACCACATATGGGAAGAAATATATCTGTCCCACAGGAATCATTGTAAACATGGCATGAGTAACCTTGTCATCATTTCCAGACTATCATCTGAGTCTTGGTCTGCCAACCCCAGTAAGACATGTATCACATATCCTCTCATCAATGTTCATAACCACTCATTACTCACACAGTCCCCAAATTTATATGCTCTCAAAATGCAAACAACTATGAAGTTAATTGGAATTAAATGGAAACCTGAATGTGGAGTATTCCTCATCTTTGATGTTCGTATTAAATTGGTATGTAGTGTTTCATTGGCTAATTAAAATAATGAACTTTTCATAATAACAATTCTGACAAAATTTTTGCTTTGTATTTTACAGTCAAGAACACATGCACATATGTTCCAGGAAGTTGTAAGTTGAGTAATGTCTCAAAGAAATTAATGTGGGCATGTTTGGCACAAGTATCTGTATGAATGGTATGGATCCAATTCTGTCAAACGCTGGTTTGTTCCAGCACAGTGAAATTGGGTTCTAATGCACGTGACTGCTGAACAAGAACACTCTACATGACATCAACAAAAAATTCACAAGGGTTGCCCATGGCGATGCGGAAGGACTGCCTACTACCAGATAGATCCTGTGTCTGCTGTAGTGGGTGCTGAGACTGTGGGCCTGCTGTAGACGTCGTAGCTACTGACTGTTCTGAACCACTAGAACGTGACCGGGACCCACCCGACCGTCGACCACCAGATGGTTTCACAGCTGTCACTACACCGGTGTTACCACCACCACCAACAACAACACCACCACCAACACCACCCCCCAATTCACTCTCACTGGCTGAACTACCCGACTTCATCAGGTCTGTACCAGCTTCTTTGCACATAGGTTCTGAACCATTACTGGAGCCACCTGGATAAAAAAGAAAAATATATTAATTTAACTGCCCAATGAACTTTACTGCACATCGCCACCAGCCATTATATAAAAAGGGGGGGGGGAAATACAATTATAAATCATATACATTTTTATTTATATATGAAACATCATACAACCAAGGTAGGATTCTGTCAACTGGAATATATGGTTTCAACAGAATAGCATTATGGCTCACATGGCAAGACAAAGCATGGAAGTTCTTCAATGAATGTTTCCAGAATGCCTGACTTCAACATCTGGAAACATTACCTGGCCAGCAAAATCTTCTGACATGACAGCCAGAGACTTTTACCTGTGGGGACATCTAAAGTCTAAGGTGTATGTTACTTGATTCCACCCTATCTAAAAACTTAAAGACTGCATTACTAAGGGAACTGGAAGAACTGATGGTGTTTTATAGGAGCCATGTATAGATTAAGAGAGAAATTACATCAGTTACTAGACAGCAATGGAGGCTATTTGAAACAAATGATTTAAAAGAAATAATATTGTCACATATAGAGTGGTATGCATGACAAGAATGACGGGTTCTAGTCTGGATGATTGACTTTATTAGCACTTTGGTTACACAGTCTCTTAATTACACTTAAATGTAGGCATACAGCGGTATCACTGATTTACACACTTTTCAGTTCATTGTTGCACACACATTAGGATTCTGTTTCCATTAGTCATCTCCTAGCAATGGATTTCAACACAGAAACTATCATTTCAAATCACTACAAATCTTCCAATCATACTTTGAATTGAATTCTTCTGCACTCCTGGTTTCGCCTTGCTCCATTTGCATGATTCCACCACTACTATCTCTCTCTCTACTGCAACTCAGAACTCAGGACTATGTCACACACACTCACCATCACTTCTAGCCACAACTCGATCTCTTCTCATGATTCCGTCGCTGCTATCTCTTGTAACTGCCCTCAACTGAACTATGCTCACTCGTATAGCCAAGGGACTGACAACGTATCCCATGTAAATACATGTCACGTGATCACCACCCACTACTGTTGCGTGACATCACATTGTGTGCGTTGCATAGCAACGGTCCATCCATGGGCACAGAACATACCGTTCCTGTACTGTTGGCGGTGTGTGTTGCAGGCATTGTCTAGCAACCGCTGATGTTTACAGATTCACTGCCTAGCAACAGGTCTACACTCCACAATATAATTAAACTGTATCCACTACTCTTAAAATGTTTTTTTTTTTCAGATTCTTCATCCACTCTCCCACAGCAGACAAATAAAAACATCATAACCTCACAATCCACCCTGTACATGAAATTACCGAGAATTAATATTAGAGTCAATTTTACCGACTACACAACACGTTTTTATTATTATCACACTACATGTTTTGACCTCAAGAGGTCATCCTCAGGTGTACGAACAACTGTATAATTACACGCAATCACATTCGTTTTTCCACTTATTCCACCCTGTATCTTATTCAGGCTTACGCTCAATGATATATCAAGCTCTTCTTATAAAACACAAGTTAAAATATTATTCTAAATGTTAAAAGTTAAAATTGTAAAATTTCGTGAATCGAAGTTTGACTCAGATCACTGGTTGGTTATACTTTCACTTCTTATTCAGTCACTTCCTACTTATGCTCACCACTGCGTCCAGTTCACTTCAACTAGTTTAATTACTACCACTGGTTAAAAGTTCATGAATTAAAGCTCAACTTTATTATATTGGTTGCACTTTCACTTTTTGGAGGTCTCGCTGTTCTTCTGCGTCCTCTGATGCTGCTGGATCTGTTACGATCCTTGTCGTGATGGCTTGTGTTTTATAAGAAGAGCTTGATATATCATTGAGCGTAAGCCTGAATAAGATACAGGGTCGAAAAAGTGGAAAAACGAATGTGTTTGCGTGTAATTATAGTTGTTCGTACACCTGAGGATGACCTCTTGAGGTCGAAACATGTAGTGTGATAATAATAAAAACGTGTTGTGTAGTCGGTAAAATTGACTCTAATATTGATTAAATACACAACAGGATGCAAGAAACAATGAAAGTTACTGAAAATTACTGAGGGAAAACAAAACTTGACAGAAATAAAAATAAAATTTTTACAGCTGAAGTTAGAATTCAGAAATTGGTAAAAGACTTGGATGATACAATAATTATAAAGGTCTGGCCGTGTAAAAGAAATGGATAGAACACAGACATCAAGAAGGACATTAGAATTGCAATTTAAAGGCAAAAGACCTATTGGACAACCCCGAGCAAGATGACTCAGCCAGGGACTGGAAGACATCAAAGCAACAGGAAAGAGCCGACCAAAAACTGACAAAGAAAGACTGTGACAAGAAGGAAGAGGTTGGAGACTTTCCAGCAAAGCCAAATAAAACATAAACAATATTGCTAGGAGGAGGAAAAAGAAGATACTACAAAGCCCAACTTACCTGAACCACTATGAACACTTTCCTCACGTGCATATCCATATACTGACGGTTCATTTGTGTAGTTAAATGGCATTGGAGCATATCCCGTGCCAGTGTGAGGTAGATAAGTGCCCGAATATGGCATGTGTGTCCCTCCCCAAGGAGCTGGCATTGTGTTTGGTGCTGGAAGAGGTCCAACCGTGTCTCTATCCAATGATGTGCAGTCATCATGAAGTTTCAGATTGGACATTGCTGCAGAAATAAAATCTTTTCTCACAAAACAGACCAAGAGCACATTTCCTTAAAATATATACATTTTATTGGCTATGTTTCAGAAAAAATGTTGATAGCCCATGACTAATCAGCTGGAAATTCATTGTAAACACACATTAAATGGCAAATATACAATCAAGGAGTGAAAATCCACATATGTTCATAATACTCAAATCTAATTTTATCAATAGAGGTGGTCTTCAATGAAATGTCTAGTGACATTCCTCACAAAGGTGCCATAAACTGAAACACTGTAAGTGGTACTGATTTCCTCAAATAATATCTTGACCACAAGTTCAAGGTGGAACTTTTTTATTATATAAAACTGAAATTCATATCATGAGTCATCATAATTATTGGCTTATAGACTGAATATCTGCACTTAAAGATAGTGCAGGAAATGTGAAAGTGAAGGAATATCAGCCCTCTGGCTCATATACAAGGGTTGGATAAAAGGTAGTGGCAACACTGCTGTAACATGAAAGATGTGCATCAGGTGGCACTAGCGCCATCTGTAGCTGATAGCAGAAGTTCAGTTGAAGTAGTGCAGTGAGTGGCTCTGGTTGTTTCATTGAGTTGCATTGTGCATTATCTTGAAGTGCAGGAGCCCAGTTCAAGCACCTTAAAATACATGTTTACGAAACAAGAACAATGCTCCTGGTTAAAAATTGAAGTTGCACGAGGTCGTAGTGCACAAAACTCTTATCAGGGGCTGCAAGAAATATGTTGTGATGCTGCCTTGCCATATCACACAGTGGCATGATGGGTGAAATTGCTCTGTGAAGGGAGGGATGCCATTCAGCACAGCCCCATGCTGACAACCACACAATTCAGCTTCTTGCTTCTTTGCTGGATGTCAATCGTCAAGGGGCTGCACGGGAGTTAGCTGCTAAGGTAGGTGTATGTCACAAAACTGTGCTCCACATTCTGCACGATATTCTTGGATACTGCAAAATTGCAGCGTGTTGGGTACCCCATACAATGTCCAAAGTGCACCAATGGCAACGTTATGCAATTACACAGGACTTATTCGACTGGTACCAGAGGGAAGGTGAAGACTTCCTTGGAAGGACTGTCACTCTGGACGAAAGTTGGGCTCGCTCATATGAACCACACTTGAAATGACAATCAAATGAATGGAAGCATCCTGGCTCTACTTGTCCAAAGAAAGTGCGCTCTACAGAGAGTAATGTGAAGAAAATTTTCATTGTGGCATATGACACTGATGGAGTGATACCGCACCACACTGTACCTCAACGACAGACAGTAAACGCTGCCTACTACTGCAATTTCCTGCGTAATCATCTTCGTCCAGCACTCAGGAGAAAGCAACGACACTTGTCATTTCAGAATTATAAAGGCACTGCCACCACTTTTCATCCAACCTATGTATTATTTGAAGGTAGTTTTAACACAATGCAAAGAAGATGTGCCAAAAGCCATGATTTCTATTCCATGTAACATGTATGGGCCACACAGATCAATGGTTTTGTCAGATTTATTGTTCTTGGATGTGCTGGTAACCCCTCCCCCCACACCACTGCTTTTAACTATCCTAACAGCTTCACTTAGGTCATGCCACAGCTCAGGCAGTTAGCCGCCGACTTCCCATCACAGTGGCACAGTTTCAATCCCAGGTCAGGCCATATGGGATCTGTGGTGGACAAAGTGGCATTGGGGAAAGTTTTCTCAGACTGCTTCAGTTTCCCCTGCCAATTCTCATTCCACCGACTGTCCCACGCTCTTCAGCATCTATCATCTGGGGCTGGTACAATAGGCCAATTAGTTGCTGATGTACCAAGCGGACTCAATTTCATCCCACCCCAAGGAATATAGGGTCAATGATAGGATTAATGAATACTGAGCAGATTGGCCATGAGTCTGCTATAATGTGCTGTGCTCACTAAGAAGTTCAATGTATTTCTGGGGACCCTGACTCCATTCATTGCCATTCATCTCACACTCTGCATCAAAAGAATGAGGAGGTACAAGTGAACATCTCTTCCTGGTTCTTAATGTCTTCCTGAATTTCTTCCCCTCAATTTTAAAATAGTCTCTATTATGGAAGTGGATAAACAAACAGATTTAACAGAATGGTAACTTGAGGTCAATACCCATCAAAGTGGCCTCCGTAGTCTAGGGGTAATGTTCCCACCTCATGACAAAATACGCAGGTTCAAACCCGGCGGATGGCGTGGAATTTTTAAGGGCAGAAAAATTCATGGAACAAGTCCTCCGGGAGGGACTTAAAGCCGTGTGTCCCGTGTCGTAGATTTACGGCACATAAAAGATCCTCATGTCTCTAGGAGACCTCTGAGCAAAATTAGGCAAAGTTTCCCGCCCAAGTAGTTTCCAATGCCTCCGGTAGATGGGGAAATATCGGGGACCATTGCCAGAGAGGTGGCCGACCTCGCTGGCAGGATGGGGCTGATAGCGAGCACCAGTACCGGAAGGGCATGGCGACTGGTAGAATATCAAAGGGGGACGTACAATAGACTATTAGTCACGGTGCATGGGGAACCCACCCCCTCTAATAATAATAATAATACCCATCAATGACATACTCACCAGCACAGAGATCTCCAAAAACATAGTAACACTGCTCTGAGAAAGTTATCTTATTTACAGTGTGTCGGATGTAGCCAGCTTTCAGCATCTGTGAAGCATACTTGCGAGCATCTCGACGATCATGGAAACCTTCTACATGAGCATGCAACCACTCTACAACATCGCAACCTGTACAAAATAAAAAATGTTTAGAAATTGAAATAAAGTTCAGATTGCCAGTCATCACAGCAGAATATAACCTCTTTAATTTCATTTTTGGAAGACAAATTTTGCTAGAAAGGATCATGTTCATCACAGTGCAACAGAACTACTCTGAACCCTGCAACAGACAGGATTCATATCTTAAATCCTCTCCTACTTAACGTCAACTCCAGCTTCACACAGCGAACCCCATTACTATACAATTAATATTTTGCTGGACATTATCCATCATCTTGTCTANACAGCAGAAATCAAGAGACTACAGCGACGTCAAGTGTAGTTGGTTTGGGTAACTCTTTGTTTCATATGTTGGTACCACAAGGAGTATTGCTTCTCTTCCGGTATGATTTCATTCACGATATTTCTCTGGTGCTAAGCCTCAAATTATGATATCTTCAATATTTCTTAGCTCCCACAGATGATTTTGTTGTGCTTGTATACCACAAGGAGTATTGCTTCTCTCCCGGTATGATTTCTTTCTCTGGTGCTAAGCCTCAAATTATGATAGCTTCAACATATCTTAGCTCCCACAGATGGATTAAGTTGTGCTTCTTTTATGAATCCCTTCGGAAATTGGCATAGATGTCCGGAGATAGGGGCTAGCTCTGTCTATTGGACCCAACTGAGTAGGTTTTACCTGAAGACGGGGACAGAATCCAGTTCCCGAAACGTTGTGTTTTTAATAGAAATTAGACTATTTTTTAGAATAGACAAGATGATGGATAATGTCCAGCAAAATATTAATCGTAACAATTTACCATCATCACAAACTTTTAGATCTTATTCCCATTACTATAACTGAATTTCTGGTAACTGTGTCACAGAAGCATAATTAATTCATCTTGTATAGTTGAAATGCCACCACAAAAATTTGGTTTAGCTTAGCTCTAAATTCAGTTTTTAAGTTTTAGATTTAGAATCCATACTCTTAGAGCGGTTCTGTGAGAAAAGATACATGCCATATTGGTTGAAGGACCAATAATATTCTGTTTTACAGGCTTGGTGACAAGAGAAGCAGACTAAAAAGACATTTTATTTTTCACCTAAATTATGTAAATTTTAGATTTCTATATTTAATTCTTTCAGTTTCTATTTTTTCTCCTAATTTTTATAGTGTTAGCACTTGTAGGTTATTTTTGTATAAATCTGCTGTTTATAGTGAATGAGTGTGATTTTTTTAACATGTATTTGACCAAAATTATATTTTTAGTAAATTTTTGAAGTGAGACTTGTAAACTGAGCCAAATTCACCTGAGTATTTTAGGCCATGTACTTGGAAAATAAGCTGAGTGCAAAAGCATTAACACTGTCTGTGTTTGCGTCTGTATGTCTCGAGGCATGTATGTACGACTGTATATATGGGATGTGTGCCTCAATAGTGCCTGAACAGTTGAACAAATTGTATCCATAATCATTATTTATGAATTTATTCATCGCTGATCATCCAGATCCAAAAAATTGGGTCCTACAGATGCCCCCTCCCACAAAATAGGGTAATATTGAAAATTTCTCTAACAATTCTGACTAAATTTCGATAACTTATGAAGGTCATCCCCTTAAATAAAAGAGTATAGGCGGTGTCTTCAGGAAAATAATGGCAAATGCATTACAGGCCCAAATGTGATATGCAGTTTTGTCAAAACTGGCATTACTGTTCAGATATATTTCACTGCTGTTCAGTACTCAATAACCGATGACCTACTGAAAAACAACCATTTCCAAGGTAATACAGTCAAGGTCAATCTTGAGAGGGTATGTGCAATGTCTTTTCACAGGTTTTTATTAGGCTAAAAGATTACGTACCAATGAAAGCATTTGGTATTGTTATTTTGAGCCACATTCTATCTCGAATCTCAAGTCCTGAGTCAGGTCGAGCCATGGCCCGAACAATGGTTGGCATGTCTGTATTCACAGTCAGTTGAATCTCTTCAAACGGCCCTATGAATATGCACAGACATAATGTTAAAAACAGAAATAAGGCAAAACATACGCACACTCAAAGCATAACCAGAAAAATGACATGATAAAGCATTCCTGAAGTGTACTCTTTTTAATAAGTATACTGAGGCAAACATAATCTTAGAAAATTAACTGTAATGCAGACAGTTCTATCACAGCATTTGTTTTCAGACTGCATATTTCAGTTTCTTCTTTATTTGATACTGGACATATGACTCCATTATCCTCCCACTGTTATCAATAGACACTGAATATTTTTTGGACTAAAACTGTATAAAATATGCATGTATTTATGATCTAAAAATTACAAAAAATATGCCATTAAATAACACATACGATGGGGTACCCAAAAGAAACCGAACTAATTTTTTTGTGGGCAGAGCTTTTGTAGTACCGCGTTTTGCCGCTATGAGCGCATAGAGATAACATTCCTGAGTCGATAAGCCGACTACCGTTGCTTCAGAAGGTAAGGACTAGTTTCGGCAGAGTTTATAGTGACAACTGTTTTGTGTGATCGTCGTTTTTGCAATGGCTGATTTTCGTGAACAGCGTGCAGCGGTGAAATTCTGCTTTTTGCTCGGGAAAAGTGGAACAGAAACTC